GCTCGAAGAGTCCACCTCGTCTAGAGGTGAACACAAAAAAGTGCGACTCGAACAGCAAGCAAAGGCTACAAGAACGAGCTACGCTTCCGCTGCTAAAGCAGATTTGGGTGTGGCCTTAACGTGTGCGCGTTCAGGTCACATTACGAAGGAAGTAGCAGACGACATCCTCCTGGCAATACAGAGGAAGATGATCAGCGAGGCCTGGAGTAGCCAGGACCCTGATGCTTCGGGCCAAGTTTTTAGGGGCAAACCTGTTTACACGGAGGGTGTCCCAAAACGGTGGTGCGACGATCAGAAGGCTCTGGATTGGTTGAAGGGGAATACTGCTACCCTCGACCTTAAATCCAACACCTTGCTGACCATAAAGAAACAGTCGGAGATACCACAAAGAGTAAAATGAGGTATCCTTATCCCTGATGCCCAAGGAGCCTGGAAAGACTCACGCGAAATTGGTCGCGTGCTGGCGTACCAGAACCGCTGGGTTAACATCAAGGACTGGCTGTTACTCAAGGCTGATAAGCAGACGGACGGGTGGTTCCTCGTTGTTTCAGTGCCGGAGGATCATATCCTGACCCTGATGAAGACCGGACGCCGTCTCGCATGTGTATGCGGGGCGGTATACGTAAAATTCCAGGGTCGTGGAGGTAAATTCTTTGACACTCCACCGAGCAAAGAGACAGAAAATAACACGGAAGTTATGGTTACGGGAGCCATGGTTACCGGTACAGCGGAATCACTGGAGGCCAAGTCCAGTGAAAAAACGGCCTGCACAATTGAGCCGAAGCCCTCAGTAGAGATCGGGCTCAGCGGCAGCACATTGAGTGACGAAGAGGACCGCATTTTGCCGACCGCATTTTCCGACGAAACCCGAGATCTGATGGCAGGCCTGTTTTTGGGCGGGGACGGGGAGAACGCGATCAATGATGGCGTGCCCTTCGTCCAAAACTAGCCTAGTGCAGGCCAACCTCCACCACAGCGAAACTGCGTCAGCTCAATTACGCAAGTGGTTGGAGGTTCAAAGGACTGCCATAGCCTTAGTCCAGGAGCCGTCGGTTGGGGCTGGTAAAATTAAAGTCCTAAACGGTAAACAACCTAAAAGGTAAGCTATTCTACAGCTCTGAACACGACAAGCCTAGAGCGTGTATTTACACTACTAAAAAAATCTGTGCACAACCATTAACAGATTTCTGTTCTAGAGACATGTATGCCGTGGCAATACAATATACACAGGAGAGAAGATTAGTCGTCGCCTCGGTCTACATGCTGGAGGAAGACTCTCCTCCCCCTCATGACCTCGGCAGGATGGTGAACTTCTGCGAGAGGACCGGACTAGAGGTTGTGATCGGGACGGACTCCAACGCACATCATGCCCTCTGGGGAATGGAAAGACCAAATGAACGAGGTAAGATTTTAGTTGAATATTTATTTAGCACTAACCTAACCATTTTAAACGTAGGTTCTGAACCAACTTTCATAAACAAACGCTGTCGCACAATAATCGACCTCACACTAGCAACAGAAGGAGCAGCTAAACTAATTACGGAATGGCGTGTGTCGAAAGGGGCCTCATGCTCAGATCATAGATGAAGAAATCCCCGCAAGACGGATAAAACAAAATACCTTAATAGGCTGACGTCTTCGCTCGCGGGTTTTGAGGGGATAAATACTATAGCAGATCAGTCGCTCCTAAAAGAACAGGTAGCAGCTGTTATTAAGGTAATGATAGATAGCTACCATAAATCATGTCCAGAAATCACTCCACCAAGACATGCTGAGGTAAAGCCACCGTGGTGGGGTAAAGAACTCGATAGGAAACGTAAGAAAAGCCCTAAATAGGGCCATGAATACCTCAATGGATGAAGACTGACTACTATATAAGAAAGCTAAGTCTGAATACAAAAAATGTATCGACGCTCGTCTGGGTAGCGTAAATTCTGTGGCAACATAGAAACCTGCGAACAAGCAAATAGGATAAGGAATATTCTAGCTAAACAGAACACGTCGGGATCCATCTCTCTAAAGAAACCCGACGGTAGCTACTCAACATCGCCGGATGAAGCCCAACGCATCCTAATTGAAACGCAATTCCCAGGTTGCTGCGTAACTCAGGAGGCAAACCGGCATGACGACATACTGACAACAACAGCAGAAGACTGGAATTTAGCACAGAGAGTGGTAACGATGGACAAAATCCATTGGGCCATTCACAGTTTCCTCCCCTATAAAGCGGCAGGATCTGACGGCATATTCCCGGCACTCCTACAGTGGGGGGGACCCTAATAGTCAGACTTGTTGCCATAATGAGAGCCTGTCTGGCTCTTAAATATGTCACATTCATACCCAAACCAGGTAAGAGCGACTACACTGACCCTAAATGAATTAAGGGGGTCGGCGCTAATGAACTTACCACTACACGACAAGCAATACGCCTACAGTCTAGGCAAATCAACAGAATCGGCACTTCACCAGGTAATTACAAAGATTGAAGAGGCCATCCAAAACAAAGAAATATGTCTAGGTTCCTTCATTGATATAGAAGGTGCTTTTGACAGAACGAACTTCTCCAGCATTAAAGGTGCACTCAGTAGACATAAGGCTGAACCGGCACTGATCGACTGGATAGTATACATGTGCACGAATAATAAAGATTGCTCAGGGTGCAGGCAGGGGCGTGGGGTTCTCTCACCTCTCCTGTGGAATATAGTCATTAATGAACTCATCAGCAAATTAAATGCCAATCACTTCTACACAGTAGGTTATGCTGATGACCTGACAATACTGGTCTCTGGAAAGACAGCAAGCATAGTGTGCGACCTGACCCAAGCGGCTATCCGTATAGTAGAGAGATGGTGCAGGGAATACGACTTAACCGTCAATCCAAATAAAACGGTTCTAGTAATGTTCACACAAAAACGAATGCTGAATAACTATCATCTTCCAAGTCTTTTCAGCACAAAACTCCAGCTATCCTCTGAGGTCTTACCTTGGACAGCAAACTTAACTGGAATAAATACATAGAAAACAAAATCAACAAAGCTAGTATAACTTTCTGGCAATGCAGAAACATGATTGGCAAAAGATTGTGTCTGACGCCAAAAATTATACTGTGGCTATACAAAACTGTAATTCGGCCCATGATCACATACGGCGCTCTGGTATGGTGGACCAAAACAAATGAAGCCACCACCAAAAAGAAGCTTAAGCATTACCAGAGACTGGCATGTATGGCTGCCACAGGCTGCATAAGAACTACACCAACAGCAGCCTTAGAGGCAATGCTGGGGCTAATCCCGCTTCATCTACACATACAACAAGAAGTGACGTTAGCTGCCATTAGACTCAAGACCCTAAATCTTTGGAGTAAGAATAGTGTCCCTCATACAGGCATAATTGATAGAGTTCACTCAAAAATTTCTATCCTACAAGCCAAATACGATAAGATTCCTAAACAATTTGTTTTCGATAAGAAGTACAAGATACAATTAAATGAAACCAGCCAGCCGGAAGGATTAAGCCCAAAAGAGTTTAAGAGTTTTCATCGATGGTTCTAAAACAAATGTAGGTGTAGGTTCTGGAGCTTTCTCTGAAGACCTCAATATACACATATGCACACCGCTGGGTACCTATAACACGGTCTTTCAGGCGGAATGTATGGGTATCATTCAAGCGGCCATAGCAATAGATGCTAGGAAGGTTAATGACTTCCCCATCAGAATACTGACCGACAGTAGAGCGGTACTACAAGCCCTGAGATGCAATGTGGTGAACTCGGGACTAATATATGAATGCCATCAACGATTAAATGAGGTATGTAAAAACAACAATGTGACTCTGCAATGGATTAAGGGACACAGTGGATCCAGAGGCAACGATGCAGCAGACGAACTGGCCAGAAGAGGATCGGCTCTGGCCACTATAGGGCCGGAACCAATCATACCAATCCCCTTTGGTAACGTTCGTTCACTGGTACGTAGACACTTCACTAATCAACACGCTCAGCTTTGGAAAAATCTAGTACACTGTAGAGAAGCTAGGGAGGCCCTGCCTGAAATAAACAGTCGCTTAACCAAAGTTTTAATGAGACTGAACAAGCCGCAGATCAGGATAGTAACAAGTGCTATCACAGTACACGGCACCTTTAACAAACATTTATTTACTATAGGTGTTACAGATAGTCCCCTGTGCAGAACATGTATGGGGGAGGAAGAAACGGCGGCCCACGTGCTACTGAAATGTCCGGAGGTTGCTAGGTAGAGGGCTAAACATCTCGGCACGCCAGGATCACTCCCCGAAGTTGCATTCAACATCAAAGGACTGTTGAGCTTCTTTGGGGAGATCTCATGGCTCGAATAATCAGATTATTCCTGCCCACACGCAAAATACGCGCATAGACGTGGAGTTGCGGAAAACAGCCCGACGTAAACTAAACTATTAAAGTGGCTTCTGGAAAAACAATTTTATTCGGTAAATATAAACTGCTAAAAGAACAGAACGTTTCTATTGTCTGTTAAACGCTGTTTCTTCTTTGATCGTATTTTAAAGGGTTAATATCAAAATTGCAAACTGATGCACGTTTAATTTTACTTAAAGATTGTATTTCCTAACCATAAGTTTTCATATACTAAAATTGGTGAATTATATTTTAAAGCCTTTTCAATTAATAATAACTTAAAGCTTTTTATTCTGACTCAACGTTTTAATAAAAGTTTAGACACAAATTTAGCCGTAATAGCCGTCACACGTGCTCGTACAGCAGTTATTTAAGGGAAAAATAATAATAATGTATATATGTAAAGATGGAACGGAAAAAAAAATATCTACATTCGATATTAGTATTGCAAGATGTCACAGAATTTCTAATAACAATACCTTCAGTTGAATTAGAGTTCTACGAGAAAATAAGAATTTTCCAATAAAAAACCGTACAAATGTAATTCTAATTTATTCTTTTACACTTAATTACAAAAATAACTTAAACACTAGTTACTAAACTTAAAAGTCTATTGTTTCTTAAAACTCTTCAAAATAGGGTAAATATTGTCAAATGCTTCGTATATTTCCTGTCGAACTTTGGCACCAGTTAACACTACTTTACCTGACACGAAGATCAGTAATACTATTCTCGGTTTCACCATACGATATATAAGTCCTGGAAAAAGCTCTGGTTCATAGGAACTGAACTGACCATGTGTGAGCACTAAACCTTCAAGACGGATTGGAAATTTTACGTCGCAACTGCCAACCATATTCTGTATTTTGAAGTCTAAAAATTTGGCCTGAAAATTTTAAATCAATATAAGTAAGTATGTATGCAGTAAAAAGTTTAATTAGATTTTTATATAATTTTAAAATGATGACAGTGTAATTGTAAAAAAATGCTATAATTTGCGTGCATTAACAAACTTATTTTTAATGTGATAAATGGTCTTCACTCAGAGGTTGAAATTATTACTTGTTTCATGACAGCTATAAGTGGTCAGGTTTATAAACCGACCGCCCAATGGCAGAAGTTTGTCACAGCTACCAGTAACAGAAATGGCCAATCGTCGTAATAAATATTTGATAGCGATTTTTAAAAAATATCATATAAATAGATATAAAATTTAGTAAATTGTTTATTGGGACGGAGTTCCTTATCGGACGGTACCAATTTGGCAGATGGGGGCTAGGCGAGAAAACGTGTAAGGTAAGATTTTTGCGTCACAACCCCTTCTGACGTATTGTAGACGGTCTTGGCGGCTATAAGGAAGCGAGATGGAATAATATCCGTCTCCCTCGCCCTTTTTCTTATCTTACTATGAAAGAAATATTATTTAATTTAAATGACGCTTAATTTTAATAGACGCTAGTAATTCATTTATTTCTATATGTTAATCAATAATATAATACGTTATATTTATATATAACAATTTATATTTACAAATATGTAAATAGCAGACGTCTGTACATGTTATATTTTTGTAATAAAAGTGATTGAGAGATACTAAAAATACGTAATTAAATACATTTCTATCGTTTTTAGAATTTTCTGTCTGTCTGTTTGTTTGTTAACGTATCACATATAAAGTACTAACTTATATCATGAGAATCGTTAAGGAAATTATAAAGTATATCTTCGGGTTACATTTAGTCTTTATTTCATTAAAATCAGTTCATTGCATCAAAAGTTATGATAAATATTCTGAAGTATGGGTACGAGGTATATGTACGAATTTGTTCAATGGTGGCGTTGATTGAGTCATTAAGTGCATTCTAAACTAATATCATATTATGAATCATAATTAAATGATGTAAAGTGATGTTCTATAACGATATAATTATATCTAAAACGCAGTAAACAAAAGTATTAAAGAAAAACAACGTAATAAGTATATACAAAAATATATTAATCTTATTATCTAAATCTATCCCTGATGTTGCAGAAATTCACGGATAGCGTGAATTTCAGGGGACTTCACTCTAACCTAAACGCCGTCCACTACCATCTCGAGACGGCGAAGCCGGCCTTGCTCTTTCTGACCGAGACGCAGGTTTCCTCTCCGGCTGATATTTCGTATCTCTCCTACCCGGGGTACAAATTGGAGCATTCCTTTGTGCCTAGGGCTGGAGTTTGCGTGTATGCCAGAGAGGACATCTGTTCTCGACGTCTCGGCAGTCCTAAAGGTTCGGACCTGTCCATCCTTTGGCTACGCGTAGACAGCGACGACCATCCGCGCGTCTACGGGTGCCTCTATAGGTCCCATAGCGGTAATGCCGAAACAGACCGACTCATCGACCACGTCCAAATGGCTATAGATTCCTTGCTACTACAGGTCCCATCCGCAAAGATCGTGATCCTTGGCGATTTTAACGCCCACCATGCCGAATGGCTCGGTTCACGTCTAACCGATCATGCGGGGAGATCTGTTTATGACTTTGCCTTGGCATATGGTCTGACACAACTGGTTACTTCGCCTACGCGGATTCCAGATGTGGAGGATCATACACCTTCCCTGTTGGACCTTCTGCTGACCTCTCATCCGAACGGATATCAGGTTTCATTCGATGCCCCTCTCGGCTCTTCGGACCATTGTCTGATCCGGAGTGTGGTGCCACTCACGCTCCCTTCGCGGTTGCGTTCTGCAGGTTGCCGCCGTGTTTGGCATTACAGGTCGGCGGATTGGGACGGAATGCGGTCTTTCTTTGCATCCTACCCATGGGGGCGGGTTTGCTTCTCGCCGAACGATCCCAGCGCTGTTGCTGACTCTGTCACTGATGTGGTGCTACAGGGAATGGAACTATTTATTCCATCATCTGTGGTACCCATCGGAGGCAGATCTCAGCCTTGGTTTGGTCGCTCCTGTAAGACTGCATTACGCAGTAAGCAGGAGTGTTATCAAGCCTGGGCTGCAGCTTCGGCGACTCGGGATGTAAACACCAGCACACTTAAAAAGAAGTATAACTTCGCCTCCAGGTCCTTCAAAAGAGTTACTGCCAGGGAAAGTCAGAGCACATAGGCAGAATTGGCGAGAAACTAGTTCGCCTTCTTTCGGGAACCCGTGCATTCTGATCTCTCGCCAAGGCTGTCCAAGGGAATTTCTGTAAGCCATCACTACCATCTCAGCACAGGGAGGATGACTCACTGTCCCATGACGCAAAAGACAAAGCCGACCTTTTAGGCTCCCTTTTTGCGTCCAACTCGACTCTTGATGACGGGGGGAAAACACCGCCGACCATCCCGCGGTGTGAGTGCTCCATGCCGGATGTGCTGTTCTCACAGCGCTCGGTTCGCAAAGCACTGCTCTCCCTGGACATCCAGAAGTCGAGTGGGCCTGACGGAATCCCCCCAATTGTGCTGAGGACGTGTGCTCCGGAGTTGGCACCGGTCCTAACGCGTCTTTTCCGGTACTCCTACTCCAAAGGCGTAGTCCCGAATTCATGGAAGACAGCTTTTGTCCACCCGATCCCTAAAAAAGGCGACCGCTCAGACCCATCCAACTATAGGCCTATCGCGATCACCTCCTTGTTCTCCAAAATAATGGAATCCATTATTAACTGTCAGCTCATCCGGTACCTTGAGGATCACCAGCTGATTAGTGACCGCCAATACGGTTTTCGTCGGGGTCGATCAGCTGGTGATCTTCTGGTCTACCTGACCCATAGATGGGCGGAGGCAGTAGAGTCCAAGGGGGAGGCGTTGGCCGTTAGTCTGGACATTGCGAAGGCCTTCGATCGGGTTTGGCACAAAGCGCTTCTTTCGAAGCTCCCTTCCTATGGGCTTCCCGAGAAATTGTGCAATTGGATCACCAGCTTCCTTGCAGATCGGAGCATCAAGGTCATTGTAGACGGTGCATGCTCCAACTGCAAGCCTATTAACGCTGGTGTTCTACAAGGCTGCGTGCTATCACCAACGCTGTTTCTTCTGCATATCAATGATATGTTGCAAACCGGTAGCATTCATTGCTATGCGGATGACAGCACTGGTAATGCTCTATACACCGGCCGTGCCAATATTTCTCTGGAAAACTTCGCTGAGTACCGGAACAAACTTGTGTCTGAAGTCGAGTCTTTGCTGAGCAAAGTCTCGGATTGGGGGCGACTAAATCTAGTCCAGTTTAATCCTCAGAAGACACAAGTTTGCGCGTTTACCGCTAAAAAGAACCCCTTTGTCGTATCTCCTCAGTTTCAAGGCACTCCCCTTCTTGCCTCAGCCAGTATCGGTATCCTAGGAGTCGACATATCGAGTGACGTACAGTTTCGTGGTCACTTGGAAGGGAAGGCCAAATTGGCCTCTAAAAAGCTTGGCGTGCTCAGCAGAGCGGGACAGTATTTCATGCCGGCACACCGCCTGCAACTTTACAAGGCGCAAGTTCGGCCTCACATGGAATACTGTTCCCATCTCTGGGCAGGGGCTCCCCAGTGCCAGCTCCTTCCACTTGACCGCATCCAACGCAGAGCTGCTCGAATCGTCGACGACCGAGCCCTTTCCGATCGGCTCGATTCATTGGCACTGCGAAGAGATGTTGCATCCCTTTGCATTTTCTTTCGCATCTACCATGGGGAGTGCTCTGAGGAATTGTTCGGATTAATCCCAGCCGCCAAATTTCACGAACGCACATCGCGGCAGAACTCCCGATACCATCCACACCATCTGGATGATTGGTGGTCCACCACTGTGCAATTTAGAAGATGTTTTCTTCCTCGCACGACCTCCTTGTGGAATCGATTACCATCAGCGATTTTTCCGGACCGATACGACTTAGGGACCTTCAAGAAAAGAGCGTACTCCTTTTTAAAAGGCCGGCAACGCATCTACGATTCCCCTGGTGTTGCAGTTGTTCATGGGCGGCGGTAGTCACTTACCATCAGGTGAGCCGCATGCTCGTTTGCCCCCTCTCCTATAAAAAAAAAATCTAAATCTAAAGTACAATAGTTAACCAATTTCATCGATAGATGATGGTGTTGTACAAATGTAATACAAAAAGGCAGGCTCATACGACAGTAACCTATTAAAGTATGATGTTATCAAAGAGTTGTATACAAGATTTAATGGCTGGAGTTTTATATTTACGGATGGGTCGAAGAGTGTAGAAGGATATGGGTCTGCGTTTTATGTGCCTAACATAGATATAATACTAAATCAAAATAATCATTGTTTTAAAATAAGTACTCATACTAGTATTATGGCTTTGGAACTTATTGCAATCTCAGAAGCTTTGACACATGTTATCAGTAGCCAATATAAAAATGTAGTTATATGCACAGACAGCAAGAGCTCGTTGCAACACATAGCTCGATGCGCCTCTGGTTACAGAGGTGCATCGATAGCTTATGACATTATATCCAAGATAGATGAAATAACTTCAAAAGGCGTCCAACTGAGATTGCAATGGGTCCCATCGCATATTGGGTTACGGGGCGACGAAAAGGCTGACATGTTAGCGATATATGCAGCTAAGAATGGAAAGGAAACTAATATTATTTTGGATCACTCAGAAGTTTTACCTAAATTCAAAAATATTTGTTATGAAATGTGGAAGGAATACTTTAACAAGCGGTCACTAGAAAAAGGAATATGGTACAAAACCATACAGTGTCAGCCTCTTCATGTGCCCTGGTTCATGAACACTAGATTAAGTAGGAAATTAGTTACTACTGCTCATAGACTCAGATCTGGACACGTTCCATGTAAGAAATTTGTATTTCTAATGAGAAAAACAACTTCGCCCAATTGTGAAGACTGTGGAGTTATAGAAGACCTATACCATATATTGATGGAATGTGTTCGATTTGAGTC